CCCCCCCCCCCTTCATGTTCGATGATCTGTTGCATGAAACTGAAATTGCATATTGTCAGTAAGTAACACTTTTATGCTCTCAATGTAGACCACCTCAGTCTAAAATCCTCAGAGAGGATCAGAATCACAACATGTACGTGGCTGGTTGCATGGAGGTGGAGGTGAAGTCTGCTGAGGAGGCGTTTCAAGTATTCTGGAGAGGTAAGTCGTCAGAAATTAAAGTCACAGTTATGGGAATAAAGAAAAGAGAAATGTAGGAACAAATTGCACTGATGATTTTGGATTTTACTGACCTGGCATTGCTGGCCTCCGGGTCGGCTCTGGCCAGGAAGTGATCATATTTAATCTTCTCTCTGAGCAGCTCATTTAAGAATGTTGTGCTTACAAAGTGTTCACAGTTCCTGAAACTGGTTGAAAAGTTGCCTATACTCTTGTTCCAGGTCAGAAGAAGAGGAAGGTGGCGAACACTAGTCTGAACAGAGAATCCAGCCGCTCCCACAGCGTGCTCATCGTTAAACTGGCTCAGGCTCCTCTCGATGCAGACGGCGACAACATTCTCCAGGTCAGCTGAATCTGAAAACTAATGTTTATTACTTAATCAAAGTAATGTAACCTTATACTCAATAACAAATGTTTTACACTGGACAAGAAAGCTGATGCGTCCTTTAAAAAAAAAAAAAACTAACTTAAACGAGAACGTTTAACAGTTCTCAACCTATTGCTATCAAAACTTGTAGAAAAAGTGCTTACACATTATTAAATCAAGATGGGTAGAGGGCAAAACAAAACAATGAATGTTATGTTCTACATATAAGGTTTTTACAAAAATCTCTCTGTATTTACTTGCATTTGGATTACTTCCTTTACTCAGTAACTGAATTCAATTGAAATGCATTTTGTGATTTCTTTGTCACATACAATCCAATCCACTCCTGACGCTGATTATAAACAATTTTGATAATGAAGTGCTTTTTTTGATTGTGTTTCTTCAGGATAGAAACCAGGTGACTGTGAGCCAGCTGTGCCTGGTGGACCTGGCAGGAAGTGAGCGCACCGGCAGGACGGGGGCAGAAGGCACTCGTGTACGGGAAGCAGGTTTGTTAACGCAGAGAGAAACCATAACTATTGCTGGTGGCTGGATTACCTGTGAGATCTAACAACATTATCACCTCGCAGGTAACATCAATCAGTCTCTGCTGAATCTGCGGACCTGCATGGAGGTCCTTCGAGAGAACCAGCTGTACGGCACAAACAGGGTATGAACCAGCAGATTAAAGCTGAATGCTGTCATCCTTTTTACTGATGAATCATAGAGGTATGTTTTCTCTACAGATGGTCCCCTACAGAGACTCTAAAGTGACCCATCTGTTCAAGAACTACTTTGACGGAGAGGGCAAAGTCAGAATGGTTGTCTGTGTCAACCCCAAAGCTGACGACTACGAGGAAACATTGGTAGGTTCCTCCTGCAGCCTCATTGTGTCCTGTACGTTATTCGAATGAACGCTGACACTAAGGAGACGCGCTCTTTTCGTCCAGCTGGTGATGCGCTTTGCAGAGATGACCCAGGAGGTGGAGGTGGCTCGGCCAGTGGACCGACCCATCTGTGGCTTCACCCCGGGGCGTCGCCATAGAAACCAGGCCTTCAAGGAGGAACTGTCTCGCAAGCTGGACGAGCGTGGTGGTCCGCTAGGGGGAGGTGGGTTATGCACTGTTTATTCACCATAAACCTGACATAAATCTGACATTGACACTCTACTAAGGAGTAATGTTGACATCATTTAAGACGAGCCACATCATAAGAGAAATCGGTATATATTTGTTCTCAAATAATTTTCAATTAGGAAATACTTTGTTTTAATGAACGGGAATCTAAACAGAATGGAGTATATACAGTACATTGAGTTATTTAAATGAATCATGTCAAACTTTATCACACTATTTCTCATTGTTACACCTTAAAGAGAAACCCTATTATTTGTCAATTATGAACAAAGAAAACAGCAGTTGTGTAAATTATTTTTCTTTCCCTTAGACTTGACCTCTGTTATAACCAACCTGGCGCACAGCCTCCCACCCCTCCCCTCCTGTGAGCTGACCGACCCCCACGATGACATCACGCTGCCCCGGCTGATTGAAGCCCTGCAGAACAGACACAGGGTCAGGCAGATGATGATTGACGATTACAACGAAGCAGGTGCCCGCTGACAAACTAGCTCAACCCTCATCTAAAGTCTTTCTCTGTTTTTAAAATCGTAATTTCTTGTCTTGCCTTTCATGTTATCTCCTTTGTTTTGTTTTAGCCAACAGGATCAAGTCAATGCTTCAGGATCTGGACAACAGCCAAATATCCAAAGACAATTTCATTCATGAACAAAATGGCAAACTGGTGGAGTTGGACAGAATCCTCCAGAACAGCAGGGCAGAGATCGAGCGCTTGGAGAAGAAAAACAAGATGCAAGAACACAAGGTGACAGAACACACTGAAACCTCACTGAAATATCTGATTTGTTTCGTCGATATTTGCTCAGTGTCTTAAACATCCAATATGGCTTCTTTCCAGATTGACATCCTGCAGAAAACCACTAAAATCTATGAGGGTGACAAGCGTTCTCTGCAGACTGAGCTGGAAACCAGAGAGCAGCGGCTGCAGAGGGAGCAGTTGGAGAAGAGACGCATAGAGCAGCGCCTAAACGGCGTTGTGACTGATACCCAGTACAAGTGGGAGAAAGAATGTGTGAGTTACTCCTCTTATCGTTTTCCTTACTCAGTCATATGAGGGCTAACGGGGTCAATGATGCAATGAAATGTAGAGGACAAGAGAAGGGGTCAGCTTAGCATTTCAAAATGCACTTGTAACGATACGTCCACACGGCTCCGTTGTGTGCTTCACCGGAGACGCTTCCCACTCACTTTGAATGGGGTGACGTCAAGCTTTGCCGAACTGCATTGTGGTTCCGTCGCGTCGCTTTGCCTCCGTTGCTCGCGCTGAAAGTTGAGAAAAGTTCAACTTTTCAAGCGTCGACGGAAGCGCTAGCCAATCAAATTATATGCCAGTACAAGCGCTAGCCAATCAAATCGCGTGCTTGTTGGTCGCGCACCAAACACGCCCACCGGCAAGTTTCAACGCGTCGGAGCCGTGTGGACGTTGCCTAAGGGCACATCATTAAATATGCATCATAAAGATCAAATGAGATACAATAACGTGTAAGATTAGACAGTTTGGTCTTAAAAAATAATATACAGTTTTGTTTGTCCTGTCTCCACTTTTCCAATGTTAATTTATACAATGAGTGTTTAACTTTCACTTTATCCCTCGTGCTGCGCAGGACCGACGCGTCAACGCGATGCAGCTGGAGATGCAGAACAAGCTCTGGGTGAAAGACGAGAAGCTGAAGCAGCTCAAAGCCATCGTGACGGACAGCAAGACTTCAGGTCATCCTGCACTTCCTCCGCGCCAGACGCAGCCTCAGAGGCCCTCCAGAGAGGAACTTCCTCAGAAACCCTCCAGAGAGGACCGCCTTCAGGTTCCCTCCAGAGAGGAACGTTTCCAGAGTTCCCTCCAGAGAGGAACGTTTCCAGAGACCCTCCAGAGAGGAACGTTTCCAGAGACCCTCCAGAGAGGAGCGCCTCCCCGCCAAGAGATCCGCCTCGCCCTCACCTGTCCCTGTATGTTGCGTTGGCGATGCACATCTAGAGCGTCTGCATAGCTGTTGATTTATTTATGTTGACTTAATATTGTTAGTTAGGGTTGAAGGTTTAACAAAATGATGTTCCTTCAGCTTTTCCCTGAGACGAATACCTTTCTTACCAGATTAACATGACTAACTAATCCCAATGGAAGTGCAGTACAAACTTTGTACTGCACTTCTGCACCTTCTCCAATGCAACTCAACATGACTTTGTAGTACAAAGTCATGTTGAGTTGCATTGGAGAAGGGGTAAAACTAAGAATTATTTTCAGTGTTTATCAACCGATGATGTATACCAGATCTCAGAAAATTCAATTTGCAGCTACATTTTTTTTTATAGGAAATGTAAAATAAAATCATTTAGTTTTAAGGCAAAAACTAAATAGATTTTAGCATTTTTGCTCATACAATAATCACATCGCTAAAAGGATTATCCCAACTAAACTGCTGATGTAAATGTAATTGGGTGATCAGCTTATTGTTTCGGTTTAAAAATAGATGACCCTATCTCGCAGTCTCAACCAAATCCAGACCAATGCGTTCACACTGGATGCAATGTTTGGGGGCGGCGCGATTACCTACATGTAAAGTCAATGCAGAGATGCGGACAGACGCAAATTTGCTCCGGCGGCGCGATTGGAGGGGGCTGCGACAACCGCTCGAGTTCAATTTTCTTCAACTTGAGCGTCAAATTCCCGTGACGCGATCTCGCGGTAGCCAATCAGCGGTGAGGATCTCAGCCTGACGTAGAACCACAAAACCAAAACATCAGCCGTTAGCTGTTAGCCCTCAGAGCTCACAGCTCCTCATATCTTTTCAGAAACTAGACAAAAGTTAAACGAGTACAAACCACAGACTGTCTGTGTCATGGCGAATATAGTCGCTGGATTATTTATTTCTGTAGGCCGTTGTTATGAGTATATTACAATTTAATCACAGTAAAATATGTTAATTTTGTTGTAGCCCCCGAGCCAGCGTGTCTTGTTTGAATGATGCGACTAAACACAGCTGACAGCCGCGGTGAAACTCGAGCGTTTAGAGCGAAGTGAATATTCGCATCGCGTCCGGTGCATGTTTCTGTTGCTGCTCCATTCTTCCAGCTACTATAACATTTCTATCTCCTGTGATTTCTTTGTACTAACTCTATGCATGTATGTCATTGTGCAGTCTTCCCATGTTGCCACCCGGAGCACTGTAGAGTCTCCCTATGTCAGGACAGATCCAGAGCCAGTCAGTGCCACTAGAGTTGAGGAAGTAGAGATGAACCCCCGGCCCTCCTGCCCCGTCCCCAGCAGCAGCGCCTCTCTGTCTGTGGCTAACAGCGTCTCTACATGGGAGCAGCGGGTGGCCCAGGACAGCAGGCAGGGTTATCATTCTCCCAGCAGAGCCCCGTCCCCTGCCGGCCCCCCATCCAGCCGGGCCCGGAGGAGAGCTCTGTTCCTGCCTAAAGAAGAGGCCGAGGCCTACTCCCCTAAAGATGATGTAGACTATATTGAGAGAAGCTACAGGGTCAGTGAGTCAGCTACAGGAAGCAGCTTGAGGTGTTACAGTTAAATCTGGGGTCTGAAATCAGGCTATATGTCTATGCATAGATTCAGCAATCCCTCTAAAGGTAGCTCTTATGAACCACTAGAAGTGTGTTGCAGGGTCTGTATCTGCAGAAGCAATTTCCCTTTCTTCGGGAACCTATTCAAAGTTAACGCTATCAGGTGCCAGATTGAAAGCATGCACCCAAGAGGAACGTATTAAAATAGGGGGCACAGGGCAAAAAGAAGTCTCCAATAAAGTGAGGTGACACACTAAGCAGGCAAAGTTGGTTTAAAAATCGCAGTGCAAAACCTACTCTTATTCCCTGAATGTAGATTCTTAACATCTCAAACAATTAACTCAAGTCACGATGGATCATTTTCTGTTATTTGTATGTTCTTCCTCTTCTTTCTTTAATACGATACGATATACTTTATTATCCCCATAAGGACATTTGTTCTGGACTCCGTCCTGTAGTTCCGCATTAAAATCCATACACACATCATCACTCATACACCGTTTGAACAAACACAATACACAGACACACATACTGACAATGGCGACCTGTTGCACAACCCTCATGGCCAACATTTAAAAGTATATTACATTACATGTGACAGTAGGAGCTGGAACTCTGGGTGGGATCAGACAAATGTTTGTGCCTGTCTAATAATGGACTGCTCATATGTTTTGGAGAGATGGATGTTTTTTGACCCCCATCATTTTCATAGCAGTCTGTACCAGGCGAGCGATCTGTGACTGACTGCACAGTCAATTTACCATACCTTTTATGAGGCTTTCTAACACTGCATGATAAAACACTAACATGAACTTCGGCTCAACTCTTTAAGCCCGGAGTCCACACAAAAAATACAATCGCTGTTGAAGTCTAGAGCACAGAACTTGAAAACGCACCCTCCAGCTGAGTGTATTATCTAGATGGACACCAAGGTACTTAATGTTTTTCTGCTTTGTAGACGACCACTCCGGTGCGGGCGCTGCACCGCCGCTCCCGCTCAGCCGGCGGAGAGAAGTGGGTGGACCATAAGCCCTCCTCCAGCGTCGACCTGGGGACAGTTCTGCAGCCCGTCATCCCCAACGCCATCCAGGTGTCCACCCCCAGTGAGAAGGCCCTGTCCAAGTGTGACCGATACGTGTTGACGCACCAAGAGGTCGCTTCTGACGGAGAGATACAGACCCAACTTATTAAGGTCAGTACACTGCAATTAAAAAGAAAAAAATATATATGTATATATCACAGGTTGGCACCGAATGGCAAATTTGAAACGAATAGCAGTGATTGTGATGACTTCTAGAATATTACCACAGGTTATTTTGGTTTAACTTATCAAAAGTGAGTGTTTTCCATCATCTTAGTCACAGTGGGAGCTGCTTAAGCTGTTAGCAATTTTATTTTTTCTGATTTAAAAAAAGAAGAAAAAACAGGCATTGATGTAAGGCTTTGGGTTGCTACAGCGATGTGGTGGGCATTATTACAATGCAACAATTACATTTAGATTTGTTTAATAGTTGGCCTTTCCAGATCTTTATCCACTAGATCTGTCTAATTGTTCTGTAACCTTATTTCTCGAAAAGGAAAGGTTTCTGATCTGTAAATATCCAAAGAAGCCAGCCTGTGGCACGTGGAAACTCAAGAGTTGTTTGCATGAAGTAAAGCAGTGGTCAATTTAACAGATTTTAGACATACTACCATATGCTGCACTTGTTAAGTCACCGCTCTTGTGTATTTTTACGAATCATTACGGGCTATTACCTCGTACTTCTCTCTCATTTTTCAGGGGGAGGTTATTAAGACCCGAGGAGGAGGACAGTCTGTGCAGTTCACGGACATCGAGACGCTGAGACAGGAGCTCACCACCGTCCCCAGGTATCAGCCGACAGCCAGTTATCAGCTGCAGATTAGCCAGGTGTTATAAATGATGTTTCATTAATGTCACTTTACATTTGTGTCTGAAGGCTCAAAAGAAAGTCTTCAGAGGGAGCACCTGCCAGCGGAGAGCGAACAGATGGATCGTGGACTGATGTGGAGACGAGGGTAGGATGATTATATTTTTTATAATTAATCAAATAAACCTCCATTGCATGTGTGTCTTGGTTTAGGAACCAGATGGGTGATGGGATTGATTTAACTTTGCATAGAGGCAGATGTTCTCCTGTTGTATTAGAAAATGTTATGATAATTGTATCATAATTAACCCACTTAGGCGCTACAAATTATCATTAGGGTTTATGCGTGATTCTTTTCTCCATTATTCACTTAAAACTGTATATTCAATAAAATTGTTTTTTAAATATATTGTAGCAGCTCAACACTAATACAATAGGAAAAACTAACAATACGATGCTAATAAATCATACATGATAAGCAGGGTTCATACGATCATTAAAAACCAGGAAAAGTCATGGTAATTCAAAATGTAAATTCCAGGCCCTGGAAAAGTTATGGAAAACAATATTTTTCTCAAAGTTTTGGAAAAGTCATGGAAATATAACTGATGAAGCCATATCTAGGAGCTTATATTATTTAATAGTTATCCATTTATTTTATTGTTCTTTTTTGTTTATAGTACATTTCCCTCTTAATTCTTATTTAAGTTTATCAAATGAGTTGTACTATGCCTCTGTTTTTGTAAAGGCAGCCTTTGGGCACCGGGGAGGGGAGACCTGCTCATTATAAATATGGGAAACAGGTGGTAGTGAGCGGCGAACCCGATAGGCTTATGGTTTTTTACCATCGAGTAAGAAGGAAGAAAAGGCTTGATGTGTATAAATAAATTGCACTAAAACTACTTTTGCTCGGACCTTGATTTTTACCCATGCGTAAGATTCGCTGACGGGTGCCTCAGCGGCACTTTGCTTTGAGTTATATTTCTTTCTTATATTTTTATGATTTTGGCCGCTTCAATAACTAAAGTTGCATCAAATATAATTTAGATTTTATCCAATCGCCGAAATAGTAATAAATACTGTATCATATAGTAATGAACCGTAAAATGGCAACTGTCGCAGTATTTAGCTGGTGAGAGATGTTTACAATCACGCCCTCTAGTCTACAGTGGCTTTAGCCTGTAGGAGCAGCGAGCTACTATTTGATATAAGGCTGCCAAGATGCCAGGGAAGTGCAGTTTCCACAATGTATGGCTTCTAAAGGATAAGTAGTAATTGTGGTTATCAAAGTACATTGACCCAAGACGTGCTAAATGCAAACTGTGTTTTAAAATATTCGATATTCCGAATACGGGCGAGGCTGCGCTTGCTAGCCACATGAAAGAAAGAATCTTTTTTTTTGGTCATGGAAAATGAGGTAAAGGTCATGGAGAAGTCATTGAAAATCATTGGTGAAAAAGTGTATGAACCCTGGATAAGGAAGTCTTACAAAAAATGATCACAAGAAGTTGCTGATTAACCTTTACCGAGCCCATAATTGCAGCCCAATACAACATTAACAATTTAATTCAGGGCTTGTTTATTCATTAAAGTGAGTCAGAAACTCAATTTGCATGCATCTTAGCTTTAGTCATGGTGTTGAATTTACTGCTAATGCATCCTCTAGACCAGTGGTCGCCAACCTGTCGATCGCGATCGACCGGTCGATCGCGAGTGTGGTGCGATCGCGGACCGTTAAAAAAAAACTAACAAACGAAAGAAAAAGAAAATTAAAATAATAATGTTTGAAAAATACGTTTTTAGATATAAACCTATCATCCATCACCCCGTTAGCAGGTGCCACTTGATTGACGTACATTTGAGAAACCTCAACTGCCAAGGCACAC